ACTTCAGAACCTGATATCTCAATCTGCTTCAATATCTACCTTGCTACCTTATCATGAATTTGTACAATTTGTCAACACCAACTCTCCCAGCCCATTTGAAACTGACAGCACTCACTCCACCTTTGTGATGAACCCAAGAGAGTTCTCTCACATTATACTGGCCAACAGAATATCTTTAGCCACCCCAGGCACCATTTAGAGTGGCAGCATAGACAGTTCCATGAGTCTCATATGCATCTCTGAATCCTGGCATTTCTCCACTAGATAACTTGTGTCAGAATGAGACAGATTGAACTACTACCCTTGATAAAGGGATGCATCCAAAGGGAACTCATTCTAAACACATGACACAGAATACCAACACACTAACTAATCTACCAAGCCAGTCTCTTATATTGGATTAACTAGGTAATAATGGTTGTTTTTGTTCTACCAAAGATGTTGTTTTAGGAAACTGGCAAACAAGCAGAACTTCAGTCAGTTTTCATTTTCTTACCTGTTAAAATGTTTTATTGCCTGCTTATTTTGAAACACTAGCTAAATGTTTCAACAATGGTGAAATGACCCGACAATGCTAATACAACTTACTCCTTCTTCTCCCTTTTATTCACTGCTGTAGCACCCTGTTCCTGCTTTGTCGTTTCATGTCTATCTGGGCTCTTTCCCATTATCCCTCCCATTTCTGAACCTGAAGCCTATGGGGAGCTTTTCTTTTATGATAATGCAAATCAGAAAAGAATGTGAAGTTTTCGCTTCCTTTTTCCAATGCTTCCTCCATCTTTACCAAAGTGTTACATAAATACAGAACACTGATTTGACTATGCATGTTCCACTCAGGACAATTCTACATTTCCCTTAAACCCTATTCAGCTGTTCCTGATCGGTGTTGATTAAACACACACCAAGGGGGAACATGAAGCTTCAGCCACCATCTATTACTGTTTCTGCATTCTTGTCCATGCAGAGGGCAACTTTCTGAAGGCAAGAGCCCCCCATATCCACAGAGTCACTCCATGTGATTTGGAACGAGATTTTCCAACACTACAGATTGGGAACAGCTGAACAGGAGTAGACTTAAATCTGGAAATGGAAGATTTTCATTTGCTTGAACATGTACCTTATTCTAAATGATAAGGCGGTTTGTGCTTCATGGATTCCTTACAATGAATGTGAACAAAACAGGAAAAAAAAACACCAAATCCACATCTTAGAAATATAGCAGGCTATAAAATATATACAAATAGATGAAATGAACCAAAACATAAGTAGAACATCTATGGATTCCATTTTTTTATGGAAGTCTTTACTGGTAAAGCACCAAGTGGATACTACATATATTTACAAAAAATGCAAGACAAAATGATAATGAATAACAAAACTTTATTGGTGTGTTAAAGGTAAGTTTAGAAAGTTCAGCAAGCACAGTCTGTCCATATTGTCAATATAATGTTTGGAAATAAAATCAGTGATTGTCAGTTATTTACAGATTTTTTTAACCATTTATGATCCATTATGGACAAACAGTATGTAAAGGTTCACAGTATGTTGATGGATTACAGCAAATGCTGAATATTTCTTTCTACTCAAACAGAAAAACATGAGCCTAAAGAAATGGTGCCCACTAATAGCAGGTAGATACTATCAATTAAACTGTGCATGTTTGTATGTATAAATCCAGAGTGTTTTATTTTGCAACTGAATCCCTTAAATGCTGTATATGTCAGCTCCAGATTGCTTCAAACATGGATAAATCCTATTATTCTTCTAATGCAAAAGACATGCAGCGTATGTATAAGCCTTACTTTTTAACACACCTATCAAATTCAGTAAAAAAAGTTACAATTCAAAGCTATTTGTGGATATCACCTATTTGCTCACAGAATTGTCTAGACCAGCCATCCCTAGCCTGGTGCCCTTACAGATGGTCATGTCTTCAGTTCCCATCAATGCAGCCAGCTTGGCCAATAGTTCAACATCATCTGTTGGAGTACCATGAATAGATTTAACACATGGGTCTTTAACTCCCAATGCTGCTTCACTAGCCCAGATCTTCAGACAAGTTACCTAAGAATAGCAGCCCTGAAGTCAATGTGTGTAAAGTCAAATCATTGTTTCTCATTCAACAGGAACTTAAATGATCTGCATCATAGTCTTACAAATGTGGGTGACAAGAAACTTGAAGTTTACATTTTCTATAGGCTAGCTCATGCAGAATTAATTAAGTTGGAAATATTAGCGCTAGGAACACAAGAATAACTAGCTTAACAATATTTTTCATGTGCTGAATGTAAAAAAGATTTCTATTCTGATGTTCTGAATCTTTTTTTAATTTGTGGAATAGTTCTGTTTAATACATACAATTTCCAAATTTATATTTATTTTTTGATTTTTTTGTTAACTGTCCCATTCCCACAGGTTCTGGAAAGTTCACAAGAGATGAGGTTTATATGGGTTTTATACAGGTTTGTGCATGCTCTATCCCTCACTCTAAGATGATGATGATGGTCAAAATTTGAAGTTCTCAGCTTAGTCTGTAATTTGTTAAGAACAGCTCCAGTAACAGAATAATGCAAATGATTCTATGCCTAGCTGGTCTGTCATACTGCATGAGAAAAGCGAAGTTCTAACATGTAAGCAATTTTAAAAGCTAAGTTCTAACATGTAAGCTAAGTTCTAACATGTAAGCAATGTTAGTACAAAAAATTACTAGAACTCTTAAAAATGGATGATGATCCCTTTTGTTAAATGGTGAGCTTTTCTGAGAATTTTATATTAGAAATTATAGTCAAAGACACCTAGTTCATCAGACATCTTGTTCCAGCCATGCCAGTGGCAAAATTCAAACTGAATTACATTGAGAAAGGATGAGATGTTTCATTAATAACCTGAAGCTCTTAGGTTCAGGTTATTAATTACCTAAGAGGATAGTTGTATAACAGCATTTCGTAAAAGGAAGATTCCAGGTATTTTGGATTCCAAGCCCTAGAAGTCCCTGCCAGCATAGCCAACAATCAGGAATACTGAGAGCTGAAGTCCAAAACATGTGGAGATCCATTTTTGCCCAACCCCACTCAGTAAGTTAGGAGCTCAGATTCTTTATCCTCACCAGCTAAGGTGTAGTATATTCTTCATGTGACAAAAGCAGCCAGCAAGGCAGTGTACTTGGTGCAACCACTGACAATGGACAGGAGAGAATTGCAGTCTGTACCTTTAAGCAACATGAGGCAATTGAGAAGGTGGGCTGCTGCAGCTACTAATCCCCCCTCCAAACACACACACTTTGCAATCAATTGCCATGCTGCAGCAGCTGCTGGCAGTTTTGCCTAGTGAATCACCTCATCAGTGACTGCTGATGTGAAGGCCACTTTAAAATCACACCAGATGGTAACTCTTACTTCTGCTGCCATCAGGCAATTTCTTTTTATATATTTCCAAAGGTCTGCAGTGCTGTAATGAGACATGCTTCAACTGCATAGGCAGTTGGTGTACATGGAAAATGTTTAACTGGATCCAGTTTGACTACACTTTCACAGCAAATCCACTGGAACCAGTGGATCTAACCGTGGCTACAGCTAATTTAAGTCCTGCTGATTTCAGTAGGTACCCTCTACCATGACTGAGGGTAGAAACCTATTTTATACAAGCAGAACTCTGTTCATGCAATGGACCTTCCTTCCTTTCTCCTCCTGCCTGCAGCCTCATGTGCTAAGAACCTGTCTCAGTGTGTCCTTCAACTGTCCATAATCAATTCTGAGGGTACAGAGGGAAAGACAGGATTTCCTGTATTGCCTCTGTTGACAGATACAGTTCCACCAGTGGAAAAACTGCATTGAAGTCTGAATCACCTGAAGTCTGGATTCAACCCATTCATTATATGTGTAAAACCAGTTTACTAATCCTCACTTCAATCCAAGCTATGGTATAAACATATTTAAACCATAGAAAATACTCCATATTACCTGTGCAAAACAGAGATGGACTACTTCAGTTTACCTGGGAGCACCTTTGACCCCATGGGAAGCCCTTCACCCAGGGCTGCATGCCTGCTGGCAAAAAAAATCCCAGTGGTTTGCCACCAGCTTCTGAGAGAAAACCACCACGGAGGAGGAAAAAAGGACAAACCTAGCTAGTTTTCAACCCACATTTGCCTTTTTCACCATCCTGTCATGGTTTGCCACCAACTGTGGTAGTGAGGCTACACAAGGTGTAGCAGGAACCATGTGTTGGCTCCCCTGTCACATAATGCCTGCCATGCTTAAATGCTCCATTAACTAATTTATTTCATAGTAAAATATAAAAGACTTTTTAAACATTGAATGCTCAGCACTCAGTGTCTTCAACCATTTTAATAGGCTACAACTGATTTATTGGTGTGAGTCTTACTATTGTTTAAATGATCAGTAATTCTGAAATCATCCATGATCTTTAAAAAAAAACCCACCATTTTGGAGATATTAAAATCCCTAAAGTGTCAGGCATGGTCATTTATAATACAAATGAAATAAGCATATTGCAAGCTCTGACTTCAAAGTTTGGCTTCAGCAAGCTTTCTGTGCTCCCATACTGGAAATGAAATCAGCTAGCAAGGCGTAGCTTCGTTCATTATTTAAGCTTTGCTGTTGCCAAAACAAATATAGCAAATAGCCATGTGCTGTAATCCATAAAGCTCTGTGAGTAACTATAGGGCAAACAATGTATTTGTTGGCTAAAATATAATTTAAAAAGTCCTGAAGGTTATCCTACACTGTCTCTGTGCACATATAAATTGGTGGTGCATAAATCAATTCTGGTTTATTAAAATAAATGCGTTGATTACATGGAATCCAAAATATTCTGTCAATACATGTAGAACTATTCAAAAATCAGACCTGCAGCTATACCTTAAAGTAGAGCTGCAAAATATTCCAAGAAGAAATTATACAAGCATTGATATAGATTCCTATACTATGAGGAGACAGTATATGGGAGGTTTAAGTACTTTTAAAGAATGAAACTCTGGTAATGTTAAGAAGTTTGGCAAGTTTGAATTTGGGATTTTATGCTAAAGATATCCTTAGTTTCGGTGCCTGTATATTTCTTCCATTAATACCAAGTGTAACTCGAGATGAATATAAGAAAAAGAACAAGTCCCATTCACATGTAAATGCTCTAGGGGCACATGGTATTGATAAACAAGAGAAAACTTACTGGATTAGGAAAAGGGACATAAGAAGCATCTTCATGTGCCCCTTTGCTATGTAGGACCCCTTTCTTGAATTTATTAAAATCTCTTCAACTACCAGAATATGGAAAGTTTTACATCCAACATAGCAAGCAACACATGAGATAGTGAGACATAATTGCCCTTCCAAAGAAAGAGAGGCATGAAGTGATGGGGTGGAAACTGAGATTGCTTGTTTAGAAGCCCAGATTTTACAGCTGGTTTAGTGGCATGAGAGCAGCAGCTATAATAGTCCTGCTGAGTTCAACACCTAAAAGTCATGTAGTATTATTGTACAGATAGCAGTTCAATAAATCTAATAGAGGTGGTAAAAGAACCCAAGTCAGATTACTATTTTGCTTGGTCACATTTATTTATTTAAATGCTTTCTGACCAACTCATATTTTTAGAATAGGAAGTTGTGAGCTATGAATAGCATACTGCAAATTAAACAGCATATCAAGTTTCTTCTGTTCAGTGATCCTTAATTCTTATAGTCTCTACAAAGAAACCACTCCATGTTAAGATTGCTCACATGAGGAAGCTTTGCAGAACTACTTTTTAATACAGCTGTAGTAGGATCTTAGATTAGAATCCTGCAAACCTGCATATACTCAAATTTTAAGTGAGCAACTGCCCCACTGAAGTCGCTGATGTAATTCAAACAGTTTGCAAAATGAGGACATAAAATATTTTAACTTTTTTTAGTACACAAAATATTTGCAGTTTGCCTTTAATAAATATAATCTATAAAGTTAATTCTTTTTCCAGCTAAGGTCAGACAGACAATCAAGTTGGAAAAAATGCAGTGAAATTCTGTTGAAATGTCACTTTGTGAGTAGAATCGTTGTAACAGAATACAATAGTTTATTTTTGTGCTTTCTTGAGCCTGGGGGTGATTTTGAAGTGAAGTTGCCAAACTGTGCATACTTCTAGCGTCCTCCGAACATAACCCATCTCTACAAGAGAGGTCCAAGGAGTGTAGCAGCTGACAGCACAATAAACATGTCTACTGCCTAGTGTGTAGCACATGGCTTCAACAATCATGCTCAACAGCCCCCTCTTGCTTTTTTTCCTTTATTTCATTTACCCATCCAGTGGGATCTTATGAAACAAAACAGAACCTAAAAGAAACAGAATAAACACATGAGAAATCATGCTTGTAATAGTTAAACAAAAATTAACATAAAGAATAAAACACAAATGAATTCAGAGCTCAAATAAATGTGGGATGCATTTACAAAGCATATGCCAAAACCATAAGGAAAAAAATGAATGTGTGGGTTAAGAGAAGTATAATTTGATATGCCTTACGTGTATGGCTTCCTTTTTTGAACAAAGTAGTGTGTGTACAGAGGTACTTTCGTGTGCGTGTGTACACAGACACACATTCTGAACACATTAAAAAATTCAAAATATATGAAGCAATTCAATATAACCAGCACAAAAGTAGAAGTTGGTTGGGAGTAAGAAAACTTAATTTGGTGCAGAACTGCAGTCATGCAGCACAATTCAAAAATTTAGACAGCCGAGCCTGGCTCATGTATCCAGGTTATGCCAACACTGTAGAAGCACATTATAGGGTGAATGCAAGTGACCCTATTCCACTCCCACCATCAACCTGCAGTGTGAACTGGCCCTTCCACATTAGTCTCTAACTGAGCAGGGACCCATTTTGTGTGGTACTTTCCCTAAAAGAAGATCAGTGGGCAAGATCACACAAATCAGGCATTCATACCAATGGTGGAAAATAATGCAAACAGAAAAGTTAAAAACATCACCGAAGTAATGAAGAAGCAGTCCTTAATCTGGTGTTAGAAAGCAGTAATTCATTTTGTGGAGGGGAAAAAAAACCTCAACATGTTATAACTGGAGGAACAAATGGTCTCCCTGCCTTTTACTTTAGTACATCAAAAATAACTCAAAAATATAATGCACACACATGTATTTTCAATATACTTTGAATATGACATATAACTCTTTGCTCTGATGAAAACCTCTGGTAGAAATTCACTGGGCAGTCTTCATAACATAAACTATTGCTATTGGTTAGCTGGATATACACTTTTTTAGCATGGTCATGTGCCACAGTTGACAGAGGACAGTGGTATGCTTGAAAGTGACCTTTACCTGAGAGCCTCTTCAGTCTGAGTCAGGTGTAAAGACAGAAAGACAGAGGACCATAAGCTGGAAGAGGAAGGTAGGACATAGACCTTGAAGTTGCCCATCAACACTTCTGTGCACCTAGACAATAAGCTAAGGGGGCACAGAAGTCATCTAGCCACAGCCCGCATTTCTATTTTAATTATAACAATTATTTTTCACTGTGCAGGTTTACATAAAAATTAGCATATGTACATTTCATCCAAATATGTACTCTCTTTTGTCCTATGTTTAGCGATGCTTTTTCTTCAGAAAAGTGCAAGAAGCCACCCCAGTTGTATACAGTCACATTATAAGCTACCTGCATGGCTGGATGGAGGGGTGTTTACTGGCTTTCCCCCATGCTACTGTAGTATCCCTCTGCCCTCAATGCCTGTATCACAGCAAATTTTCTCTTCAGCAAGTTTTTTGCCAAGTTGCTATGGCAAAATATACACATTTGTGACATCTGATGAACAACATGCAGTTTTCATGTGGTTTCCTACAGAGAACTGGCTTCTGTATAAAAAACCTATCTTGTGTGAAGTGACTCTGGGAGAGGGGAAAATTTTTGGCTCTTAAATTTTTCAGTATAAACTATGTAGCTTAGAAAGAAGCAAACTGTAATTCCCTCATTTGCATTCTATTTGATTGTTAATTTAACACCTGAGGCAACAGAATTATCTCCTACTTCACTGTAGGTAATGACATACGTGCAAAATCCAACAAGCTTATTAGGGTGCTATTTCATGTTTCTAAGAAAGCTTGCCTAAATTCCTTTTTGCTGAAACCATCACTATAAGTTGGAATGAAGAGCCAACAAAAACAGTGGGTAAAAGGGATTTGGCTAAATCACACACAAAAATTATAATCTCAAAGAAAGTATAATCAATTTAAAACTGCCAGGATTCAGGAATGGGGTATTCTTGTTAGCTGTTTCAAAGTAAAGGCTTGAGGACATTAAGAAGATTAATTTCTTAAGGTAAGAATTTACTGTAACTTCCTCTAAAGAGTACCACATCCATTTAACACTTCAGTATGATGCAGAAGACACAAGTGGCACCCTTACCTTCTTACCTACCCAGCCAGCTAATCACATCTTGCCAGGGACAAAATGCAGACAGGCTCCTATTTACAGCACAAGGATGTTCCCAGTCCATGCCTATATTTAATACTTTCACACAATATGGAGATAAAACAGTTATGAGTTGAGCTAGCTTTCAGCATAATGGCTGCTTTGGGAAAAAAGCTATTGGGTACCTTGAGATAACAGCTCAGCATCAGCTGAAAATCTGGGAGATAGTTTGAATCAGAACATGATACTCTTACCATTGTCACATCAAAATGGTGACAATGTGATACATGCACAGGGTGAAGTTAAGAGCTCCTCCTTCTCGGGGTTTCATTTTCTCTCTCTCCATAGTAGGACATGGTTGAATGAGATATGCTAAAGCTCATTGTTGTTCTTAAGTCTGGTTAATGCAGTGCTCAGTTTTCTGTCTTACACTGTATTTCCAAATATGTCTCCAGTACAGCCATGTTCCTTGATATTGCCTGTCACAAATCCCACTTTAAATACGATAAGTATAAACATTGCTTTAATAAAATTTGGGAACACTCAACTGTAATGAGACAAGTATCTGCTACCCATTTAAATGAAGAATGATTTATTGAGGGAGAAATGAAAAACCGCTGAGTGGCTAAGGAAGAAAAAAGAGGGAAGAGAATTACTCCCTTAAAAGGAAACCTTTATTGGTCAGATTCTGATTTCCAGCAGAAAATGGAGTAATTCAGACCTAGTCTTGGGTTGTATGTGGAACTGTGACATTAATTTTCAAAGTGATGCTGATTAATACTGTCACTTGATTTGTATTTTTATTTTTTTAATTAGAAAGCAGGGGAATGGGATTCCTTGCAAGGCACAACAGCCCATAATGTTTAGTGACACTGTGGGGCATGTGGGGCACTTGCAGCCACCATTCAAAATATGCAATCTCCAATTGGGGGTAGTTGTATTGTGCTAACCCAGCAAGCATAACCCAGGGTCTGTTTAACCCTTGCACAACTCTTGCTTCCTGAGTTCACATGACATGATGAACCCTGAGTTAGCCTTCAATATGCAACAAGACACCTGCAGGCACTGCAGCTCATTATACTTGAAGAACCCCCGACAAGCCATGGCTTGTCATCTGAACCTGGTTAAAATTTCTGTTGGGTTTCTAGAAACTATTTCCCAAGCAAGAAATAAACGCCCTGAGTCATCATTGAAATGTCAACATGACAGCATTGTATAAAATTCTTATTTGGAAGAAGCCCTTTTCCAGTATTTCATGAAGAATGTACAACTTTTCAAAATGAAAATTCTATGAAATATAATGCCATTTTAGCTCTCTTCAGCAATGCCATCAAAATGTGTTTGAATGGCAAAGTAAGTTCAAAATATATCAGTGGGATAACCGCCTTTTGGAAAGGGTAAAATCTAAGGATTTGAAAATGTCCTTTTACGCTGATTACAGTGTTTTTAAATTGTGGAAATCACACTGTTTTCGTAATAGCTCTTGCTCATATCACAACCTGTACAGGTTTTGTAATCACTACTGGCAGCTGTTTCGAACACTGGGGTTAATTGCACTGCGTTGATCTTTCTTTTCATAAAGATTGGTGAGATGAAGTGAAAAATGAGAAAAGAACAGAATGAATTATGATTATGGAATGAAGAGTAAAAAAGAGAGAAAGAGGGTAGCAAACCAACATGCTTTCTATCTGCTTCTATCCTAGCCTCTTCAGTCTCCTTACCTCCACACCCACTGAAATGATCCCCTTTTCTCCACCTCTAAGGTTGCTTTTTGCACGCTGGGCATCAATCAGTGTCGTTCCCTCCATACCAGTTGCAAAGAATTGAGGGCGATGGGTCAGGTCTCTAGCTCTCTCTTTTAAGGTCAGACTGTGCTTTCCAATCTCAGAGGGGGAAATCCCCAGTATCCTATGGCCTCCCAGGCAATGTCTGCAGGCCGTAAGATTGCTCCTTTAAATTATATTAAAACTGGATTTACAGTTTACAAATTCTCCATCTTAGTGATGAAAGGTGAAATTGGGGAGGCTATTTTTCTGAATATTGTCCAGGCGAGAAGTGAAATCGTTCAATTTTGAGGAGAAACTAGAAGAATATTTTCGGAAAGAATCAAACCAGCTCCACCTATCATTATTTCAAGTACTGACTGCAGGGCAGAGCAAAGGAGTCTTTTGCATCACTCCATCTTTCCGAATGGTAACTCCAGAAAAGTATCTATAAATTCAGTTATGCTTATTTTTACTTGCAAGATAACCACAGTATCCCTAAATTTTGCACTTTCAACCACCATAGTACTACCCTAAGCTGAGAAGTTATCAGATGCATTATCCAAATGAATGGCTAATGTCAGCATGAAGAACTACACGTTATAAATGTAGGAAAGAAAATAAATGGTTCACTAAGATAAATGCAGGTTCCAACAGAAACCTTTAACCTAACCTTCTTCAGTGTGCGGCCCTCCAGATTACAATTCCCAGCAGCCCCTGCCATTGAGCAGAGATGCTAGAAGTTTCAGTTCAAACTGTCTGGAAAGCATCACATTGACAAAGGCTGCCTTAACAGTTTTGAATGCAAGTTTTGTTATTTTCTTATGTGAGCCGAAACGAATACTCAGGTCCAAACACCAAGTAGAAATGTAGCATGGAGCATTTACTGTGTAACTTTAGACAATTTCTAATGACTACACTCCCTTTGCAGATGCATTAATCAATGCACAGGGAGGTTAAGTGAATAATCGAACAAGGTCACATAACTTGTCACTGGCTAAAATGAGCAAAACACAGGAGTCCTGACTCCCAGCCCATTCTTTCTTCAGCTGTTTCAGACACATCATCCTTGTAGAGCAATAGACAAAGTAATACAAAACCACAACATCACATTGAAAATAATTTCTATCAAGTTAAGCATTTT